ACGGATTCTCAGAATTCGTTTTCAATAGAAAAACGGATTTTGATAATCCGTTTTACTTAATGATGTAATTAGCCTTAATTAATACAGCAAAAAACGATTTACCAAAATCCGTTTCACTAATTCGAGTTCGATTTCACTATAATTGACCGAGATTGTACTAATTTGACTTCAATTGTACTAATTCAAGTTTGATTTCACTATAATTGACTTTAATTGTACTAATTCGAGTTCGATTTCACTATAATTGACCAAGATTGTACTAATTTGACTACTAGAATTTTCGATATTCCCTTTTATTTCTCATCAAACGAATGGCATCTTCTTCTGGAAATCCTAGCTATTCTTAGCATGATATTCGGAAATATCATTGCTATTACTCAAACAAGCATGAAACTTATTCCAATTCCAAGAGCTCGGATCGAATCGGTATTGAAAAAGATCAAAGAAAGAAGAAATTCGTTTGAGTTCGATTTTACTATAATTGACTTTAATTGTACTAATTCAAGTTCGATTTCACTATAATTGACTTTAATTGTACTAATTAGAGTTCGATTTTACTATAATTGACCGAGATTGTACTAATTTGACTTCAATTGTACTAATTCGAGTTCGATTTCATTATAATTGACTTCAATTGTACTAATTCGAGTTCGATTTTACTATAATTGACCGAGATTGTACTAATTTGAGTTCGATTTTACTATAATTGACTTTAATTGTACTAATTCAAGTTCGATTTCACTATAATTGACTTTAATTGTACTAATTAGAGTTCGATTTTACTATAATTGACCGAGATTGTACTAATTTGACTTCAATTGTACTAATTCGAGTTCGATTTCATTATAATTGACTTCAATTGTACTAATTCGAGTTCGATTTTACTATAATTGACCGAGATTGTACTAATTTGACTTCAATTGTACTAATTCGAGTTCGATTTTACTATAATTGACTTTAATTGTACTAATTCGAGTTCGATTTCACTATAATTGACCGAGATTGTACTAGTTTGACTTCAATTGTACTAATTCGAGTTCGATTTTACTATAATTAACTTTAATTGTACTAATTCGAGTTCGATTTCAATATAATTGACTTTAATTGTACTAATTCGAGTTCGATTTCACTATAATTGACTTTAATTGTACTAATTCGAGTTCGATTGTACTAATTTGACTTTAATTGTACTAATTCGAGTTCAATTTTACTATAATTGACTTTAATTGTATTAATTCGAGTTCGATTTCACTATAATTGACCGAGATTGTACTAATTCTTCCTTGGTACGAAAAACTGTACCCAAACGGATAGTCTCGACATGCCCATTCCAGGTTGGCAAGGCATACTCGTCCCTGTCTACACACGAGGAGTCCCACTCACCCATCTCGTGATAATCGTAGAGGCCTTCATTTGGAAAGGGGTGTTCTTCAATGAATTCTTGTTCGCTCTCCTCATTAATTGATCTGTCCGATTCGGTTTCCGAGGTCTCATCCGTGAAATCGTCTTCACCGGGAATGAAATCTTCATCTCCAACAATTTCTTCCTCAATGTCCGGTCCTCTCATGGTAAAGCTCGTTCCTTCGCCGAAATTACTCGTCCCTTCGCCGAAATTACTCGTCCCTTCACCAAAATTACCGACATGCGTAGTCCACGTATCCTCACCACCAAACATTCCCTCGTAACCATATGATGGCGTAGGATCCTCAATCTGTGTAACCTGTGTGTTTGCTTCCAACACTATATGCAAAAACACATAGGACATAGGAGCAGAGTAGTAAATCCACGAAAGAGAATTATCATTATGCAGTCTTCCGGTAATAAAGGAACCATCCTGTTGTCTCGCCATCAAAGTAATATCCGAAATTGTCCAACTATTACGAAATCCACCATTTTCGTAAATCATATCTACCAATTGTTCATATGATATTATTCTATTAATAACAAATGAACAATCCGGACGAGACATATAATTCGAAAAATTCCATAACTCACTCTGGGGAATTTTCTAGTATACATTAACAAAGTATGGACTGTTAGACGACATTTATAACCTGTTGCACAAAAAAATTTATATTTTACAAATTACAACAACATAAAATGGCTAATCAAACACCACGTGTTCACACTAGGGGCGGTACCGTAATTACTTCGTTTGTTGCGTTCACACTTAAAGAGTTGGTTAATTACGGTACCGCCCCTAGTGTGAACACTCGCAGTATATAAGCAGCCTCGTCCTGCTTGAATTGGTCTTAAAGAGTTGGTTAATTACGGTACCGCCCCTAGTGTTTATTTTACCAATCTACATTTAAAAATTCAATTATTTTACCAATCTACATTTAAAATGGCTAATCAAACACCCGAAAAAATTTCAATTATTATTTTACCAATCTACATTTAAAACTCATTTCCAACAACAACATATAATTAATTATATTTTTACTCGAACAAAATAAAATTGTCAATTAATTTATAAAAAACACCACAAAAACCCTAATCATCAATCTACATTTAAAGTGGCTAATCAAACACACGAGAAAATTTCAATTATTATTTTACCAATCTACATTTAAAACTCATTTCCAACAACAACATATATTTAATTATATTTTTACTCTAAAAAAAAAATTGGCAATTAATTTATAAAAAAAACCACAAAAACCCTAATTGCCAATCTACATTTAAAATGGCTAATCAAACACCCGAGAAAAATTTCAATTATTATTTTACCAATCTACATTTAAAACACATATCCAACAACAACATATAATTAATCATATTTTTACTCCAACAAAAAAAAAAAATTGTCAATTAATTTAGTACAACTGCCACAACAAAGACCCTAATCACCATAATCCAACAATAACATCAAATTCATAAACAATTTGGATAAATATTCAACATATATTAAACCAACATTCAAGATTTTCTAAACAATACTCAATTAACCAAATATATCTCTTAAACATTCATAAACAACCAAAAATTAATATTATATTATATTAAAATAACAACTAACCTCTTCTTCGACGATTGGTTGAAAATTTG